TTAGCAGTTAAGTTGGATACTTGTTCTTGTTTGAATAAATGTTCAAATTAATAAATATTCCAAGTGAAATAGGACTGTGATATTATCTATAATACATTTTTAAGTTCAAATCTGTTTCTTAAATGCATGGCCACACATTATTAACCTACTTATGCGATTAGTTAATGACAGCATGACTAACTATGAGTTTACCCATTAGATAGGTATAATCAATTTGAGAAATTTTCGTTTTTCAGATAATGTCACCTATGTAAATTGCTTAAGCTTGTATCTATACTTTTAGTTTACATAGTAATATTTGTGTACATGGTTGCTTGCATAGCTACAGAGTATACAATGATATAAAGTGCTCAGTTAAATCGTAGCAGAAACTTTTAACCAGGGAAGTGCAGCAAGCAGTATGGTGAAAAAACCCAGCTATGCTAAACTATAAAATTTCAGAAAAACTTCCTTTGATATACTTGCTTAGTGAAAACATAGATTAAGGCACTGTTGTGCCTCAGTCACAACATTCCCTTGCATGTGGACAAAACTTAAGACCCGGATAAAGGCAGGGAAGGTGAGGTGCAGGGCCTGGCCAGATGGAGGGATCAGCCAGAGGAAACAACAGAGGTAACCAGAGCTGGGACAAGATGCTCAGGTATGTTGATCAAGGAGCTACGAGAAGTTTAAGGAATACAGATTGTGAATTCAAGGCAATTATAACCAGATGAAAATGAAAGTTAGGGATAAGAAGAATCAGGGTAGGTTTGAGGAGCAGCAGGGGAGAAAAGTCTCTGCCTGATATAGTTTATGTACTGGAATTCCTGAAAAAGAATTTAATATTCATAGTTCTTTAGTTGTCAGCAGATTACTTGTAAATTACAGAGAGAAGAAATTACTTCTGCTTGTTCTCACTGGCTCCATTAGCATACTTGGCTAAAGTTTATGAAGTGCACCTGAGGATACTCCTAGAATGACACAATGTCATTTGACTTCATCTTCCCTGCTAGTGAAGAGTCAGAGGAGGAGAGTAAGTGTAACCAGACACCTTGCTTGAGCTAACGTAACCTACCACTTACCATGTCACTCCTTAAGTCTGAAGTACCCATTTTAGTCTGCTTTGGAAAAAGAATTGTATTTTACCAGATTAGTGACAATGGTGGAAATGTGATGTACCAAACCATATGCATGCTTCCAGATCTTTGTCCCAGTTTCCTATGGGAATGCAATACTAGGAACTCTTATGAAGGAAGAAACATTCTTCTGTTCAGATGCTCAGATTTTATTTGAAGACCACTTTGAAATAGTTTTCATACCACTAGTGATACACATACCATAGCCTGAGAACTCCCATTTTAGATATTTCCACTCTGATTATGTAGCTATCAGTGCGCTTTGTTATGTTTTCGGGTTTTTTCAATGTGGTTTTTTTTTGTTTGTACAGCACCTGCATACTGCAGTGGAGAAGGATTCTTTTCAAGTAATAAGAAACTATTTATTTTATCCTCATCATTCATTGGGTATCCATCACTTTTCTACTGTGTGTAATTCAAACACTGCTCTGAAGACAAAAATACCCAATACAAATTAACCTGAGAGATGAGGAACACCTTGAAGCACAGGCCTAAAAGTCTGAGGTCAAATGTACATGTTCACTTTGGACATTAGGTTTGTGAAATCACTGTGTAATATTTTTTGTGTTCAAAATCCAGTAGCCCAGCTCCCATTGCTCTGGCTTTCAGCTCTTAGTGTTCAGAATATTTCCAAGACCCCAAGAAACACAGAAACAAGTGATCACCTGTGATAAGTTTGATTTTGGTAACTTGTCCAGAAATCCTGCAGCAGATGAAAGAGATGAATCCATCTTTTTAAGACAAGCTGCAATTGCCACAATACAGACGACAGTATTTCTTCCTGTAATCCCCAACAGAGTTCAATGCAAAGAATACCCAGAATTTCCTCATTGCATGATTCCAATTAATCTACAAAACAGGTCCACCTTGGATATTAAATTTGGCAAGACAACATCAGACTTTTTCATATAATTAAAGACAATATTTTAATGCCTTCAGCTGAGGGAAGGGCAAAGCTATAAACACACTATTTAGACAAGATGCCATTTTTCCCCCCTAGCCTCTGAAAGCTTAATCTGGGAATCTTCATAATGTTTTTTCATTTCAGCTGAAGGAGTAGGGTTAGTATGTCATTTTGCAATGAAAATGTCAAAGTACTATTTTGCAAACAACTTCAAGTAAAAATTTAAAAGCAATAAGAAACAAATCAAGTTGTGTATTTTACCTGAATTTCAAACCCTCAAATCCACTTACCATATAAAAATAAATATTTTTGTGATCTTGAAATATAATCCTCCAATTAAGGAAGACATTAGACTTCTGATGCAGGAAATTACCACTTATTGAGAAGACAGAAATGTTGTTGAAAATTGAATGGAATACTTGTACAGGAATGTCTGAGGCAGTACTTACAGAGTAAGAGACTCCCTCAGAAGCAAAACCAACAGTTAGAGATGCTGAATTACAGAAAATCCAACAAGAACACAATATCTAAAAACTGCATGTTGATGACATCAGCATTTTCCAACTCAAATGTATTACTGGGGTTGATAAAAATGATAGGAAGTTAGAATTTCAGCATTTTGACTATTGTCCTCTGTTATGCTCATAAATAAGGCAGTGGTCATCTTTTTACAGCAGGTCTACTTTGGGAGTCCATAGATGCAATGCCAGTGTATGACATAAATAGCTGGATCAGAGGTCACGTATGCTCTCACAAATAAAAACTGCCAATTGTGCTCCTATTTTTCTGCTCTAAGTAAAATTTTGAACCATACATTTGCTATCATTTTCAGTAAACTATATCTTAATGATGAGCAGTAAGAGAACTAGGCCTCAACATGAGAACCTTTTATTCACAACATTATACACGTAATAATTTTATGCAAGAAAATAATACTACCTTTGCAGTTGACTTTCACCAATTTATACAAATATTTATTCTAAAACTTTAATAAAATTTAGCTGTCTGTTAAGCACAGAAAGTTGGTATCCAGTTTAATTTCTGATACATTTGCTGCCCAGCAAAGCTGTTGACTCTTAGACTTGTCCTCTTTCAAATTGAAAATAACCACTCTCCAGAGGCACAAACCTTTGTAGAAAAAGAAGCCTCCAAGTCCCTACAGCCACTCAAACTTATGCACACTAACTTACGTTCACTCAATAGTTATCTGTTTCTTGTACTCTCTGAACAGGTCACGGAAGACAACCTTTGGAGGCAGCAGAACACAAATACCTCATCCAGCGTGGTGAGGTTCATGTACATGGATGCAGGAGGATTTGTTAGGTTTAGGTTGTAGTGACACCATGAGGGAAAAAAAGAAAAAAGGAAACACTCAAAGCTTCTTTGAGAGTTAGTGTAATTGGAAAGGAGATTATGAAAATGAAAATGCTGCGTTCACACAGAAACAATACAGCGTCAATATAGGACACAGATGTGGCTGACATTTAAATACGCCCTCTGGTACCTAAATCTTTGAATTTCTTTGAAGTATAATTTTAACTATGATCTTCTCTGGTTGGTATAATATAATAAGTGTATGTTGAAACTATGAAAAAAATTGTAACATACGTAATCTATATTATACACCAAACAGTGATAATCACTTACAAATTTAATTATATCTGTGTTATTAAGGTGTAGTGTCATTCCAAACGTATCATGTGGACGTGGGTCAAACAACACAATCTTTGTACCATAAACCAAGTTTTGAATCTTCTTGCCAATACACGCTCCTGACAAGGTGCAGCGCAGCACGTAAGAAATGCCCTGGAAGAGGCATCTGAAATGGCTGAAAGGCACTGTAGTAGCCATGTACCACCTTGCCTCCAAGACATGTTAGCATAGATGATGTGGCCGAAAAAAGTTGGAGGTCAGACTCTTCTGAGATATTTAAGACTATTTTAGTCTGTATTTACACTATGTTTTGGTAGGAAATTAGATATAACATCCATGAATGGTTCCTCGGTGTCTTACCTGTTCCTAGTACAGCTGAGGATCTGGTCAGCTGCATCAATTATTTTATCCTTTAATTCTTCTTGTCCTCCTCCAACATTTATTCTGTCCTTCTGTTCACTTTGCTGGTGGAAACCTCAGCACCAGGAAAAAAATCAAATAAATTCGAACTTGTAGTGAAAAAAATAGCATAAGAATAGGCTTATTTTACTGAGTATTGTTTTTATTTTAAAGCTGGAGACATTTGCTTTTTTAAGTAGAGAGTTGCAACAGAACAGCTTTCTCACTCTTATTAGTAAGAAGAAAGACATCAATCTGCTTGCTGGGAAAGGGTTTCCATGCTTCCATGCTGCCCAAATGCATGTAAGAGAAAGCTTTAGTAAAGATATGACACAGCCAAGCCAGAATAAATTAATAAAAAATTAAACCTCTATGTATCAGTTTGTATATACTTACTTATGCAACTAGAGAGGGAATAGAGGCCCACCTAACTTGTAACAGAAACTGCCTGACTCTCCATGCCCAGGAGGGCATAGTTCTGATCCAAATAGCTACTCTAATGACATACCAGAATTTTCGACATGAGAAATAGAAATTTCACCCTAAATAAAATGATTTAACATGTATGTTGAGCAGTTTGCTGTTGTAGAAGCAAGACTAAAAGGAAAGGCACATCTGTACCAAGCAATCCAAATGTTCCAATCTTCTAGTGTTGATGTTGACAGATTGTGCTGGTTTGGGCTGGGATGGAGTCAATTATCTCCTCAGTGGCTGGTATGGGGCTGTGTTTTGGATTTGTGCTGAGCAGTGCTTACACAAAGCCAAGGCCTTTTCTGCTTTTTGTACTGCCACACTGGTGACAAGATAAGGGATACATGGGAAACAGGGAGGAGATACAGCCGGGACAGGTGACCCCAACTGACCAAAAGAATATTCCAGACCATATGACATCATGCTCAGCATATAAAGGGGAGGAAGAAAGGGAAAGTCTTTCAAGTGATGGTGTTTGTCTTCCCCAGTAACTATTATGTGTGATAGGACCCTGCTCTCCTGGAAGTGGCTGAACACCTGCCTGCCCATGGGAAGTAGTGAATTAATTCCTTGATTTGCTTTGCCTGTGTGTGTGGCTTTTTCTTTCTCTATTAAACTGTCTTTATCTCAAGCCATGAGTTTTTTAGCTTTTACCCTTCTGATTCTATCCCTGATCCCACTGATGGGGGAGTGAGTGAGCAGCTGTGTGGGGCTTGGTTGCTGGCTGGGGTTAAACCATGACAGAGATGTATATGTATATCTGTACTGTAAATAGATTAGACTTAGCCATATGTGCTCAGACCAGAATTATTAATAGCAGAATATGAAATTCCATTTTAAAAATAAACATTTAAACCCAAAAAATATAATTAGAATACTATACTGTTTCAAAAGCCAACAAATTAAAAAAAAGTCCAGATAACAATTCAAAAAGCAGTATCTCTATATCCTGGGATATACAGCTCCACTATAGAAGAAAAATTATTATCCCTCTTTGCTTCACTTCCATAAAAATTCTGAAGCTATGGATCACAATCCAGTCTGTTCAAGGCTTATGGAATTATTTAATAAGTCTAATACACAGGCAACATGCTGGGGTTCCCCATATGACAGTAATGTATGTAAATACTAAGGACAATAAAAATATCTAAATAGTCATTTAAAGCAGTCATTAAATGAAATTGAAACAGCATATATTCCACTCTTCCTAATCCAGATATAGATTCAACAAATTACATTAATTTGCTTTCTAACTTTGAACTTTCTAGGACTATTTTAATTACTATCCTTATGTGTAAAACCAGCAAGTAAAATTACTGAAATAAGAGAAAGTTGTAAAAGAAAACCAGTGGAATCAAAGATTATTCTAAATCTGGAGACTGGAGGAGTTTGAAAAAATCCTGAAGACTCTTTGAAATGGAATTTGTCTGATAATAGCATCTAAAAACTTCATTAAAGTATTTTTATGGAAAACATATGTAAACTAAACTTGGTAATCCAGAAGAGTTTACAGTGTTAAGAAAGCAATGTTGCACATGAACTGAACTAACTGTATATTTTTGGTACAAGACATATTTTAAACATCTCAGTAGTAGGCTGTTGAGATTGTTTATCTAGTACAGAAACGTTTGCAGACATTTGAAGTGTGTGTGTGTGTTTGGGTGTGCACACAAGCACCTGTGCATATTTATGAATGCTAAAAATCTCATCCTTAAATGGTTTATAACTTTGCAACAAGTTGAACAACTTCATATAAGAAATATAGCTGGTGTAAAAAGCACATCAATGATGTCCCAGTATTAATAGTTGGTATGTTGGCTGCCTTTACTCCTCCTCATATTCATGACAGAAAAACCAGATATGTACAGATAATTATCCCATTATGTTAATAGTACTAATTCAAAGATAAGATTAAAAACTGTAATTCTGTTTAATCCCTGTAGCCTGTGACACAATCAAAGAAAAAAGGTAATGAGAATACAACTCACAAAGCAGAAGTAGAAATAATGTCATAAAGGATACTCCATCAGTTAAAAACTCTAGATGTATCTCTGATTGCTGCAGATGAAGAAATCATTGCATAAAACATCAAGCACCGGGTTCACAGACAATTCTGAAATGCAAAGCAACGAATTAAACAGCACACAGTAAGAGTCAGAATCAATCAGGACAAAATTTATGTAATGCTTGAAAGCCTTACTAGAATTCATACAGCAGTGCTTCAGCTAGTAGATCTTTTGTTAATTGAGATACAACAATACATACCAAAATTTAGTAAGAAATGGCAGATGTGCTACTAGCTCATAATTACTTTGCAAATCTGAATCAAATAATAGCTTTCTAACAATTAGAGTAATCATAGTAATTTTAAGGGTGGAGAGAACAAGGATGATATCAAGTTTGCAATATAAAAAACTGGAATTAATACTTGAATAATCTCCATCATTAATCAAGAAATAAATCCATCTTGCAAGTGGATTTCTTGAGAGCAGTTAATAACTGCCATCACACTTTCCTGAGCCTGTAATCCAAATATAGATAGAAGAATGACTGATATTAGTTGTCTAAAAGTGACAATTCCCATCTGAATATCACTAGAACATGTGACCTGTATAATATGAAGTTTTGAAGTTAAGTGATCTTGTAAGGAAATAATTCAGTAGCCAGCTTGATGACCTTTGTTTATCACAAGCACAAAAACTTCGGTAAGCCTGTTGTATCCTACAGCAAGCTGAAAAAATAGGGCTATTTTTTCATGTGTATTTATTTAAATTAAAAATCAAAATTTGTTTTCTATCAGTTTCAAAGCAATTATCTACAGTCCTAGTATCTTCAGAAGATATAAATCTCAGTTTAGAGGAAGATGCACCACCCAAGAGGTCATAGGATATTTTCCAGGCTGATCTTCCTGCTGAAGGTGTTTCCCTCTGCATTGCAAAGCTTGCAACATACAGCCAGTAAGAGCTAAACTAGATGTTGCATGTGCCTACAGGCCAGCGGCAAAGGGCAGCTTTCTGCAAGGAGGGATGTCAAATGCAGTCCCTGCTGCAACACATCCTTCACTATTCACTCCAAATACATGGTAGGTCTGAGGCCAGAGAACAGATCTTCCTCCACCTCTCAAACGGGTTTCATATACACACCCACAGACTCTCACTCTTCCTTTCTCCAATTCTCTTTCCTCTTTGTTTCAGACTATAGTCAAAATGGACAGTATTCAAGACAATCTTCTGGTCTTCTAGGAACCTGACTTGTGAAAGTTTGAGATTGCTGGTAGCACTGTATCTTGTTAAGAAAAGAATCTAAGCAATAGAACATAAAAAAACCCAAACAAACAACAAAAAACCCCACTTTGGTCATGATAACTCTGAGAATACAAACCGGAATTCCATTTGTCAAATACATATTACAGTTTACTTTTTCCCTTAATAGCCTGATCTTTAACTCATGGAAGTCAGCTCTGACTTTTATGCTGATGTAAAAGATTATGAAGGGCAGTAAAGAACAGGGCCAATGTACAACGGTGAATACATTGTTTTACAGATTCAGAACATGCCCAAATGCTTTTCTAAAATCCATTGCCAATGTGCAGTCTGACAAACTCCACAGAGGCTAATGACTGTTTTTACATTTGGGGTATCGAACACTTCAAATAATTAGCATGGGGGAAAATGTATGAATGTGAAAGCAATGTCCTATGTCTCAGTGACCAGAAGACATCTATTCAGATAGAATGAGAACAGATGAATTAAACGCTGATGATAAAAAAGGTGCTTGCTAAACCTTTGGAATTAACAAAGTATTCTACTAGCAAACAAAAGCAAAGACAAGTTTCCAGAATCCAACATGCCAATGAATTGTTTTCTAGGAGGGCAGTTTGATGTAAGCATATGAAAAACAACTGGAATGGCTAATTTTTCTAACTTTACTTCAATAGAATACTCTCACTTGAAAGACCTAAGAAGAAATATGGCCTAATATGGCCAGTGGATGTTGCTGTGAATTTATGCTGTGGCTTAAACAGTACGTACCAGACATAAATACTGAAAGAAGAAACAAAATTTTAATTGTACTGGAAACCAGAACTTTTTTCAGAAGAAATTTCTTTTACCTGAAAACTATTAAAGCAGCTACTCTGAAAACCAAAACTGCCCTTTTGTCTGCAGGATGGCAATCTTCTGTATAGTATCTTAACAAAATACCTAAGATTTGTCTACATTAGGGATTGACTCTTCCAGACAAAGTACATATGTACACCTATTGCAAAATAATGGTGAATAGGGTTTACTGAAGGGTGTAAGCCAATATCGACACAAAGTCTGCTCCTCTGGCTATGTGAGTGAGGACATTAGTTTTAAATATATTTCTATGAATTTTTACGTTCTGTGATTTACAAGAGGAGTCAGACTAAATGAAAAGTTTTCTGTACCTGCTATCTTGAGCTGTATATTGTCTTAACTAAGTGTGAAAGAAGTATCCAGCACATTTAATATACGTGGCTTTTTGGCAGTGATATTATTCGACACTTGAAACAAACCATTTCCATGTTCCTAAAAGTGCCAACACCATATTTTTGAGTAAAAGAAGGATTCAAAACGTGTTAACCCTGTTTCAGTGCAGATCATCTCACAGTTGTTTATTATCCCAGCCTCTTGGAGGTATTTCAGATCAGGTCAGACTCTTGAAATAGTACCAAATGAGGCTGATTGATTTGAGGAGTCATAAGGGAAAAGGACACATGTCATAAGGGAAAAGGACACATATCATAAGGGAAAGAGAAGTAAGAACAGCATGTGCACTGAAGGCTGATAACAAAAAAGACTTGCTCCCAAGTTTGTAGAATGGGAGTCAGGGAGGATCAAGATTGATGTGAGTTTCCAGGGATCCTGAAATAGAGATACAGAGGACAACAGCAGCATGTGGGTGTACGTTCCTCACTAAACTTTCCATGTATTTTATGTCATCATCTGCCTTACCATGTTTCTGGACATTTGTGGCATTTTCCTATGCTGTAAATGGACTCCAGTCCTGGTTGCAGTGCATCCTTTCCCTGGCAGCTACCTTCCCACAAAGAGGCCCCGGGAAGGGGAAGAGCCCTTCCCCTTCCTCTTTCTTCTGTGTCCTTTAAATTGTTGTCTTTGAGAATTTCTCTTCACTTTGGACTTGGACTTGGAAGGCAAATACACAAGCTTGTACTGCTTGCTCTTTTTGAATATTTTGCAGTTATCATATTGTGTAAGGGGAATTAAGGGAACCAAGAACAGGACTTTTGACAAACAAGGTTTTATACAGATGGAACCACCACAATGAGCCTGTGGCAGGGATGGAGACACTTGTTCAGTGGGGAGAAGACAGAAAATGGGGTGAAGAGGGATAGACTGGCAGAAAGTCTGTCTATTCCTGAATTAGAGAGTTTACTCACTCTGGCTTATCATAGACTCCAGCTGCCTCTCAAAAACCTTGTTCAGTCAGGAGGAAACGTGAAAAGAGAAGAGTCGCAGTGACCTGGCAGAAGCAGCAGCTGAGCCACTGCATTCTCACAAAGTTCATCACTACTTTGGGTCCATCACATCAGTAGTGTGAGTCAGTGAACGGGGACAGTGCTCAGAACTCAGAAAAAGTGCAGCCCCACAAAATGGTGATCTGCAGCTCTAAAGGAAAAGCTATATATTAGATGATGTCACAGCCTGTCAGATCTGTGACTTTTAATTAAAGCATGTGCAATCATGCTCTTCAGTCCTCTCAGCAGCGATACTCGAAATGAGATATTTTCAGTGGTGTGAGGTTGGTTGGCAATGGGTCTGAAGGGAGGGTGCTAGGTCAATATTTTGAGATCCTGGTTGGGTCTGGGTGAATCAATAGCACTCTGCTAACCAAAGCTGTGCCTTATATCAGTCTTCTTTATGGAGGCAAGTGACAAAAGACTGACACAAGAGATTGAGACAGAAGATGCAATCCTTTTGTGCATTGACCTATTTGAAAAAAGATACTGAGTGATGCTGATAGTCTGTCAACAACAGTCTTAACAGCTTATTCTGAGAGTATCTTATAGAATCATAGAATTATTTGGGTTTCAAGGAACCTTGAAGATCATTTAGTTCCAAAATCCCTGTCAAGGGCAGGAACACCTTTCACTAGACCAGATTGCTCAAAGCTCCATCCAATCTGGTCTTGAATGCTTCCAGGGATGGGGAACGCACTTTTCTGGGTAAACTATTCCAGTGTCTTTCCACCCTCACAGTAAAGAATTTTTTTCCTAATATCTAATCTAAACCTACCTTCTTTCAGTTTAAAGCCATTACCATTTGTCCTATCACTACATGTCCCTGTAAAAAATCCCTCCTCAGCTCTTGTAGACCCCTTTTAAGTACTGAAAGGCTGCTAGAAAATCTCCCTGAAGCTTTCCCTTCTCTAAGCTGTACAAGCCCAACACTCTTAGCCTGTCTTCATAAGAGAGGTGAAGTGCTCCAGCCTTCTGAACATCCTCATGGCCCTCCTCTAGGCTTGCTCCTACAGGTTCACACCCTTTTTATGTTGGGGACCGCAGAGCTGGATGTAGTACTTTAAGCAGGGTCTCAGCAAAGCAGAGTAGAGAAGAATAACCTCACTCAACCTGATGGTCACACTTCTTTTGATAGAGCCCAGGACATATTTGGCTTTCACAGTTCCAAGTGCACATTGCTGGGTCACGTCAAGCTTCTTGTCAATCAACACCTCCAAATCCTCCCCCTCAGACCTGCCCTCAACCCATCCTTTACCCAGACTGTATTTGTGCTTGGTATTGCCCTGACCCAGGTGCAGGAACTTGCACTTGGAGTTGCTGAACTTCATGAGGTTAACATGGGACCACCTCTCAAGCCTGACAAGGTCCATCTGGATGGCATCTCTTCCCTCCAGTGTGTCAGCTGCACCACACAGCTTGGTGTCATCCACAAACCTGCTGAGGGTGCACTCAATTCTATGTCACAAACAAAGATGTTAAACAGTGCCAGTCCAAATACCAATCCCTGAGGAACTTTGTTATGCTGCATGGATGCAGGTTTGTTTAAACAGATGCAATTCAGTATGCATGGGTGAGCTACACATGCAGTATTACGACCTTCCTCTTTCGCCCTGATTTTCATAGTTTCAGGGGTCCCATTCCTTCAAACATTGGTCACCTGGTTAGAACTGTCAGTGTTCCGGGTTACACAAAGGTTCTGGTATCCACTTTTTCTTTCCTCTTTTATCGAAGTATGCCTTTTCTGCTTTTTGGTGTTTTGCCTTCTTTACAGAGACTGAATGCTAGTGATTAATGACTCAAACACTCACCTGGAGTGGCAGCCTGTAAGAGACTGGGCTATTGGTGCTGATGGCTTAATCAGCAGTGTAAAAATGTGGATACCAGGCCAGGGGCTGCAGATGTGCACATTTGACATCTCAGGCTACAAGCTGGGTGTTAAACAAGACAAGGAAAGGGGCAAACCCTGCAAGATGGTATAGTGTTTCTTTTTTCTTACACAGATGATTCAACTGTGATAATTCCCTGGGACATTCACATCAAGCCTGAAGGTATTCATCTCGTGTTGATGAGTCATAATGGACCATAATGAACTCATAATGGACATAAGAGACAGCTACAGCTGCAACATCTTAGAAAGTGTCAAAGACTCCTAAGTATCCTGTGACTCACAGTATTACATCATCCAGTATGAAACTTGCTGCCCCAGGGGAAGTATGGGAGGCCTTCCCACTTGAACCTGATCACATGTAACTCTCAGTTTTGGGGCTTCCCAGGGCTTCCACCACTACCTTGACAGTTCCAGACTGCAACCACCACTTGGACAGGTTTTCAAACACCACTTCAACCAATGAACATTGAAATTGCAACAACCAAGTCTCATAATTGAATCCAATGGGTGTGCTGTGGATCCTTCCAGTCACGTGAGGGGTCTGCAGCCCTGCTCCAACTGCCCGTGCTAGCACCGCAGCCTCACTCCAGCACCACACAAGTGTCTGCCAGTATCAAATCCCAGCTATCTGCTGTTTCCTGCCAGCGCTGACTCTCCAACCATTCCTGCCTGTTTTCTGGGTGTGGGCGAGGGGAACCATGTGGAAGACGTGCCATCTTGTCTCTGTGCTGTGGCCACGTGTGTTTTTTCCAGGTGGGGGAGGCGGGCTGCCATCTCGATTTGGTCTGGTGGGCAGGGCTTGGGGAGTTTCTCCTTATTGGTTGGCTTAACCCAGTTTTATCAATATTGTTATTAGCATTTCTTCTTGGTAAAGAGTTATTTTTTTCACTTACATCCAGGTTTGGTCTCTCTCTCTCTCTGTACTGGAGAAATCAGGGGTAGTGAATCTGAGGGAGGAAACTTCTACCTGAAGTTTCCAAATTATCTCAAACTGAGACAGTCAGTGAGGGTTATCTTCACTGCAAATTGTAGTGGTGCATTTCTTTGGTGATATAGTCATGAAGCTTTGGAAATACCTGAAATGCCTGTTTCACTGGAAGTTCACTGACAGGGTACCAAGGTGTCATTCTAACCTACATATAAGAGGCACTCTGTCCCATGAGCGCCATGAAACCTTGCAGTCCCTGGATTTGGCTTTTTTTCATGTACCTACCATAAGAATTAGCTTGCCAAGAAAGTGCTTATCAGTCTTACATTAAAGGTTAATGGTGCTGTGAGATAATTGAATAAGAGTATTACCAACACTATTACCAAAAGCTATGCATCTTCCTGTAAAATCTAGTGTGTCCTAAAATCCTTTCCTGATGTTCCTGTTTGTCAATAAGCTAAGTACATGCTGAATTAGGAATATATTTTCTACATACTTCTCCCGTTTTTGTCATTTGCATACCTAAATCCATGTTCAATGCACTGTTAATTCACCCCATACTATTCCCATGGAGCATAATTTGTATGCTCATAAAATATCAGTGTAATATCTAGAGATGAAATCCAATGGAAACAGTTTACTGTGAAATCCAGTCTTTGTTCCCTCATTTTTCCACTTCATTGACTGTTGCTTTTTTCCAAGTACTCCTAGCACAACTCTTCATTATGTTGTATTATTACTTTGTTTGGGAAATACACTAAAATTTTTTTTAATAAAATCTAATTTCCCATAATTGTTGGAATGATGTTAAGATAGTTTTTCAGGAGACAAAATGCTAATCAATTTTATTTCAAAAACAAAGTGAAATTCCACATAAATTGGTGCCAGAGTGCAAATGCTTCTCAACTGGGAATGGAGAGGGAGGGAAGGGAAATATATGCCAAATCTCAATTTAATAGAAAGGATGTGAAATACATTTTATTTGAATCAAATGCTATTTAGCAACTTAAGCATCTGGAGCACATCTGATAACCTGGGTAAAATGTATTGATTTCTCTATTGATTTTTCTAATATACCTTCTCTGTGAGGGAGTTATAACTGAAAGTAGCAAGTGACTCAGCTAATGGTAGCTCTAAGTAGTTTGCAGATGTTCAAGTATGCAAGATGGGTCATCACTAAATTCCAGCATGTGAAAGGTCCTTATCTTCCACTTGGAGACAATGCATGGTATTGGTGTCTTTCTCTCTTGGCTTGCAATATTTGAATTTTTTTTCCATATGAAACTTCTTATGCATTTTTCCATTGCTATGAACAAGTGACTTTGTTCATAAAGCAGATGTATATACGGATTGAGATACTATATAGCCTTTAAACTACTATACGTTAACTTTAACCTTAGGATCAGGAATACAGAACCTTTTTCTGCAGTTCCAAAGCTGATTCATAAGTTGAAATAATACACAGGAGAACATAAGATACCTGTGGATTTATGGTCAATTTATTTCCAGGAATAGCTCTAAAACTCTGCAATATTTGTCACTCTCTCTGAGCAGTTTTATATCAACAAAGGAGATAGAAGGAAATTCTCGCACTCTCGAAACTCTCGAAATGCTAGAACTTCTGCCATTGCCTTCAATGAGAATTTCCTGTGCACAAACAAAATTTGCCACTGAACTCACAGCACATTTTACTTTCATAGAATCATAGAATATGTTGAGTTGGAAGGGACTCATCAGGATCTTTGAGTCCATCTCCTGGCTCTGCGCAGGACACCCCAAGAATCACACCATGTGACTAAGAGTGCTGTCCAAATGCTCAAGCAGTATCTTGTACTGTTGGATTTCGCATTACAGCATGCTTTCTTAAATTTACAGCATTGTCATCAAGTACAGCTCAGAAGCAGAAGAATTAAAAAAAAAAAAAGCTTAAAAAAAAGCAACCTTGAGTTACACTTACCATTATAAATATTTGCACACAGCAAGTAATACTTGAAATATATGTTTAGCAGCAGGAATCCAGACTTTAAATTTCAACTCTAAAGGTCCAAGAATAGAGTCTGTAATGAAGAGTATTCAGGGCCCTCATAGTCCTTTAACCAGCTGTTCACAGGATTTTCTGCATGCCCTAAATGTGAAGAGAAGGATGATATTGCTCCTCAGATGGTAAGCGCCATGAAGGAAGGGGAACAGCTGGGCCAAATAGGTAAGAGGCTGCACTATGAGAACATTTTGCTACTCTTTGTGTAGATGCATCATAAAATAAGGGATCATCCTTCCCCTGCAAGCATTATACTTACTCCTAGTTTCTCTAATAGACTTTATTCAGACATTGTTTATTGCAACAAACAGAGTAGAGAGAAACAGCCCAAATTACACCACCTTTAACACTCTGAACTATGGCCAAGGCTTCCAGATGAAATACTCATAGGGTGGCACAGACCTGATTCACCTCGAGACTCCTCCAATTCCAGAAGTAAAAATTTACCCTGAGATTTATTCTGGTTTCTCCGGATTTGTAGCCTATCAGAGGCAATTCTTGATCTCTGGCAGCATGTTAAAAGAAACGTTGCACCCAAAAACTCTAAAAGATATGCCACGACAATACACAATTTGAAAAACAAACAAACAAACAAAAACCCCAAACCACACATTTTGCAAAAAGTAAAGCAGACAAAGAAGACGAGTTCGGCCTGCTGCACCGCAGGCACCAGGAGCTGCCCCGAACCTCCCCCCAAACGAAACTGCGCCTGTTGTCACCGGATCAGCTCCGCAGGGAGCGGCGCATTCCCGGGGACTGCGCGGGGACTTGCTCTGCGCCGCAAGGGCAGCTGCGGCACCAGCGGCCACCCCGCACCGCCACCCCGCGCACCAACTCTGCTCCGGAAGGTCCGGTGTTATTCTACACAAAACAAAACCCAAAACCAAAACCAATAATTTAGAGGAGAAAAAAAAAAAAAAAAGGAAGAATTTTCCCGTTAAGTGCCGTTGAATCCTAGAATCTTTCTCTGCGCCTCTCCCACGGGCTTACCCTGGAAACAACAATCCCCCCACGCCTCAGCGTTAATTCGGCGCCGAGTAATCAACCACCGGGGCAGCCCTCGCCCCCTGCTCCGCCGTCCGCCACGCGGGGGCACCAGAGCGCCGCGCTTCCCGATCCCTTGAGCGCCGCGCTTCCCGATCCCTTACTCCCCGCGCTTCCCGATCCCTTACTCCCCGCGCTTCCCGATCCCTTGCTCCCCGCGCTTCCCGATCCCTTGCTCCCCGCGCTTCCCGGTCCCCGCTCCCGGGCGGAGCACAGCGCTGCAGCCGTGGCGGCCGCAGGGCGCTTCCCATCTCCGTGTGGGAGCTCCCAGGGCCGGACCGCGGGACGGGCAGGCCCAGCGATGGCCCGTCAGCCAGGAACCAGCAGGTGTTTGAGCGGAGGGAAGAGCCATCTGAAGGATGTCATGGGCGAGGCGCGTTCACTGCCCCTTCTGTCAGGTGTGAATGGAGGGTTTACCAGCGCCAGGGTGCAGGTGTGGGTGTTGGCAGCGTTTCTATAAAAATAGCTCTTCTCTGCCCTTGTAATACTTTCTATTCTTGGCACATGGAAACAGGACAGCAAGTCATCTACACCAGAAGAGTAACCAGGCCCTCTCCTCCACTGAGTGGTGCCCTGTGGTGCTAGTGCCAGCAGAGCTCCTGTCACCACAGCTAGGTGAAAATAAGCTAGGTGAAAATAAGCATATGTGCTTTTAAGGGCAACTTTTAGACTGTCTTTTGATCTGTCCTGGTTATTAACATTGCATTCACCAATCACAATGGTGTCAAAGACCCCAAAACTCTGTGTTGCTCTACATGGATCCAACTTCATGGCTGCACAGAATCACAATATCAGAAAAAAAATATTCAAGCTCAGCCATATCTCAGTGACCGTATATGATATTTTGCCACTATTACATCTATAACTTACATGTCTTGGTCAGGACCTGACTCCTCTGAGCCAAATGCTGGACAAACAAAGCCTTACTCAGTGCCCATGAAAGCAGTGGAGGTTGGCCAGGCCCCATGGGGAGTGCTCCAGGCCTGAAGAGCTTACAAGTCTGGAAAGACAAAACAAACAATGACAGACATAACAGGCATGCAGGCAGCTGCCTTGGCCCTGACCCTGCCATTTTTTCTGGTCTAGTTTAACCCTGTCTGAGAGGGTGCATGATCTGGACTCTTATTTTAAATGCTAATCTTGCTGCTTACTAATCCAAAGAAGCTGAATATACTTTCTTTATATATATTCTAAGTTGAGCCTTTGAAAGCATTATCAGTATTAAATATGTTTCCGTATATTTAAACCATCAACAGAAAATAATCAATAAAATATCTTTTTTCCTGCATCTAAATAATTTCTTTTTAAAATTAGGGTTTTTTTCTTTTAAAAATTATATTTCTCTTTTCTCTCTGCTTTTGTTTTCATCAGCCCTTCCTATTCTGTATCCATTATTCCCAGTTTTATGCACCATTTCCTATTTCAGGTTTCTATCTTGTGTTTTTCTTTTTACTCACGTGTATTCCCACTAGGTATCAATGAAACTACTCATATGCTTAATTTAACACAGAAAAAAAAATGTAATGTTATTATTTTGCTTTTTATGCAACTGTTAATCCCCAGGTATTCTTTTCCTTCGTCTTTCCATCTTGC